ATTTTCCATCCTTTTACCAGTCTGTGAGCTTCATTTTGATAAAGTTTGTGAACTATAAGCAATATATGGTTGCATTTTTTTCCCTTACTGAATCTACTCATCTGTGTTTTTTGACAGAAGAATTAAGACCATTGACATGGAGAGTTGTTTTTGTAAGGTGTTTACAGAATATCTCATTGATTATTTTTCCAGTGCTGATTTCTTTTTCTTTTTTTCATCTTTAACTACTCTCTCAGTTAGATATACAGTTTCCTTTGAGCTCTTTGGTGCTGGCGGTTACCTTGTCTCTTTCTAGGATTCTCTTAACTGTTTTCTAGAATGGCGCTTCAGGGATAATATATTTCCTTAGAATTTCCTTGTCATGGAAAGTCTTTATTTTTCCATCAGTTTCAAGGTTTATTTTGCAAGATATAGAGGCAAAAGCTGACAATTTTTTTTCCCTTCAGGTTTAAAAAATCACTCCAAGCCTTCCTGACCTTTAAAGTTTGTGCTGAAATCCACTGTAGTTTTCCTTCATAAATAGCTTGCTTCTTGTCTCTAACAGCTTTTAGTCTTTCCTCCTGTTGTTGAATTTGTGGAATTTTGATTATGCTGCTTCACGGAGAAGTTCTTTTTCAATTACAGCTATTTGGGATTCTTTATACATTTTATTGTTGAATATTGAATTATTACCCTACATCTGGAAAGTCTTCCTCTGATTTTAGTGACTAAACTTTTTGTACCTTCTGAGTTGTCTTCCATTTTTCCTTTAATTCTTATTTTAGGTGTTTGTGTGTTTGTTTCTGAGTCATCTAGCCACTGTTGGGTACCAGTTGCATGGTATCTTGTGTTTATAGGATCTTTGAGTTTATGATCTCCTACATCATCTTGTCTTCTGTTGCTGACCTTTTGTCCTCATATTTGGTCAACCTTTCTACTGAATTTTTCATATCTTGTATTTCTGCTTTCTTTCTTTTTGTAATTTCTAGTTCTTTCCCAAGCTCGTGATTTGTATCTTGTATTGTATTGTTTAAATCAATTAGTTTATTGTTTATTTCTTCTTTAAGTTCATCAAACATTTTATTAATAAAATCTTTTATATGGTTAATAAAATCTTCTTTTAACTCATTATATGTCTTATGAAATTGCTTATGGGTTCTTCAAACATTTTGACTATTCATTTTGGTTTTTCATTCTGTTTCAGTGTCTGTAAGACCAGCTTTTGAGGGCCAAACGTAGGGATTTAGGGGCATCTTGTTGCCTTGCTTTTGCTTTCTCATATTTCTACCTGATTTATCTATAGTTTGAAAAACAGGGTGTAAGAACTCGGCCCTTACTACCTATTCGTTAAATTGCTGATTTCCAGGTGTCTGGATTGCGGATCCTGAAAGGTCGTGGTATGCTACCAGACTTTACTTCACAATTTTCTTCCCCAATTCATGAGTTACTTAAAAGTATGTTGTTTCCTTTCCAATATTTGGGAATTTTCCAACAATATTTCTGCTTTTGATTCATATATAAATCCCATTGTTACCTGAGAATGTATTTTGTGTGACTTCTATTCTTTTAAGGTATCTCTTATGGCCCAGAATGGAGTCTATCTTGATGACAGTTCCATGTGGGCTTGAGAAGAATGTATATTCTGCTGTCATTGGATACAGTGTTCTATAAAATCTAATTAGATTAGTGAATTAATATTGTTCTTTGGATTATCTGTATCATTACTGATTTTATGCTTGCTGAGCCAGTCAATTGCTGATGGTCTTAGTAGCTTTTTTATTCTGGGGACAAAATATCCAACACCCACAACTTAAAGAAAGAAAGGTTTATTTAAGCTCACAGTTTGTAGAGGTTTCAGTCTATAGTCAGCTTGCTGCACAGTAGGGTGACATAGCAGAGAAGCAGCAGTTCATGGCATGAAAGGCAGAAAGTAGCAAGTAGTGAGCCACAGCCACCTGCCTTCCCTCTAAATCTTTAGTGTTTGTCCAAGATATAAGCCTATTGATTGGTGCCACCTACTGTGAGGCTTCCATTACCCATACCCAGAGCTGTGCTAAAACTCATTTATTTATCACACACCCTTAATCCCAGCATCATACACCCTAGATCTAGCCACCTCCAAAGATTCATATGCATCCCTTTATGCAAAAGGCATTTAGTCCATCTCTAAGAGTTGAAAGTCGTAACAGTTTCAGCACTGCTGAAAAGTCCAAGTCCAAAGTCTCTTATGAGATTAAGGCAAACTCTTAGCTGTGAGTCCCTGTACAAATGAAAACAAAGTTAAACACTTCCAACATTCAGTGGCTCAGTATAAACATTCTCATTCCAAAAGGTAGAAATGGGAGGATAGACAAGAATGGGGCCAATGCAAGCCCAGAATCCAGCAGGGCAAATATTAACTCCTGTAGTTCTATGTCCAGCATCAGGAGCAATCTGTGGCAAGACATGAACTCCAAAGGGCTTGGGTGGCTCTGCCCCTATGTCACTGTCATTTGTTGCAGGTCTTACAAATTTTCTCTTGGGCAAACTTTGGTCAATCCTTGTGGCTTTCCCCTGATGACCCATATTCCTGGCTTCTCCAGCCTTCTGGAGTCTCCACTGCATCTTCAGTTTCACACTCACAGCTTTACACTGCCCTCTCAGGGGCACAGTGCCTAGCCTAACCAGGCCTTCATCTGAAATCTGAGTGGAAGCCTTCCTAATCCCTCAACTCTTGCATTCTGCGTGCACCTAAAACTAGCACCATGCGGATGACACCAAGGTCTGCTGCCAGCTGGAGCAGTAGCTAAGCTTCCTACTCTCTTTGTTGTAGGCACTAGTGCCAATTTGTTGAGTACTATGAACCCAATCCTGAAGAACAAATTCTTTAGGCCACTGTCATTCTGGGACCTGGTTTTCTAAGGCTCTCTTCTCAAAGCAAAGTCTTTCAGTTTTATAATCTTGAGGCTGTGAAGAGGAGTCCTGATGGGTCTTTTGATGTCCTCAGGCCATCTTTTCTATTGTCCTGTTTGTTTCCAGCAACCAAATTTTCCACTGCTTCATCTTTACCATCCACAATTTTACCAGAGCTTCCTTTTTGCCCAAACTCACAGTGCTTAAAATCATTCTTCTGGGTTCTTTGCTCTTGATTTTCAACATAGATCTAGTTAGAAGTCCCCAACAGTAGCCATGCCACTGTTCAACATTAGACTTGAAGTTTCTTGTACCATATTAATTAGTCCACCACCCTTAATCTCAGTTTCAGGCAACATCTTTGGACAAGAAAAAAATGCAGACACATTTCCCACCAAAGCATAATGTACATGATCTGAAATCCAAAAGCCAATGCAGTCCTTGTTTCTAACTGAAACCTTCTGAACCTGGTCTTTACCAGGTGCATTTCTCTCAGCATCTTAATCTTCTGACCTCTGACCAAAATCTCCCATCAAATTCACTTTACAGCATTCCAGGGATGCTTCTTCAGCTATCATTTCCTAATCTTTCTAAGTTCTTACTGTAAGGCAAGTTTGAAAGACTCCTGAACCACACGATTAGACAATGTCACAGCAATAGTCCCACTCCCAGTACCAAAATTTGTCTTGTTATTTTTCTCATTGCTGAGACAAAATGCTCAACACCCACAAGTTGAAAGATGAAAGACATCAATTCACTGTTTGTAGAGGTTTCAGTCCACAGATGACTTGCTTCAAGGCAGGGTAGTACAGCAGAGTGACATTACAGCAGAAAAACAGTTCATGCTATGGCAGACAGAAGGCAGCAAGCAGCAAGCAGTGAAGCAATCCTCCTTTACCCTTTTATCCCACCACCCAGGCTACAAGCATTTTGAGTGATGTCACAAATGACCTTCCCATTATCCCCACCCAGAACTATACTAATTCTGGTCAGTGGGCTAATTTAGTACCAAACACCTTTAATCTCATGCCCTGGATCCCCCCAGCTCCAAAAAGCCCCACCTATGAGCACATAAGATTTAGAGTGAAGGGGGAATATCTAAATACAGGCTTTAATACTGATAGAAGGATACTGAACTATTCAAGCACAATCATAAATTTATTCATTTCTCTGTGGTTCCATCAGTTTTTATCCCATATATTTTAATGCTTTGTTTTTTAGGTAAATATGTATTAAGGATCATTATATTAAATTAAATATTAATTATAATCTTGGTTATCATGGTTAAGGATTGTCTCCTTAGAGAACTGACCCTTTTATTGTTATGTAATCTCCCTTTGTCACTTGTAGTTACTCTGGTTCTAGGTACTACTTTCTAAAATTAATATAGCTTCTCCAGCTTTCTTTGGATTGGTATTAGCAGGGTATGTCATTCTCCATCTCTTTACCTTTAACTGTGTCTTTATATTTAAATTAGGCTTTTTGCAGACAACATATAGTTAGATCTTGTTTTTCAATCTACTGTGTCTTTAAATTGATATAGTTAGACTATTCATGTTTAAAATGATTGCTAACTGAATTAGGTTAAAATCCAAAATCTATTTACTCCATTCCCACCACCCTCTTATTTGCTGCCATCTCTAATCTTAATTGAGCATTTTAGTGTGATTCCACTTTACCTCCTCTCTATATATTATTTGTACTACTTTCATTAACTTTTTCAGTAGTTGTATTATGGTCTACAATATTGAATTTTGAAAAATCAAAGTTCACCTTCAAATAATAAATAATTTATAATCTTCCTTTTGTACAAAATAGAGGAGGCCTTTGGAAGACAAGAGTTCTAACTAGAATTTAATTACCTTATTTTGTTTTCATTGTGCTTATTTTACACTTCCCTTCTATTTATGTATAGGAATAATGGGTTTTCAATACAATCATATTACAATCATACTAGGAGTTGGAATAGGAGTAGTAGTAATTTCTTTATAAAAGAGAGAGTGTACAGTGGGAAGAGCTTCAGTTGAAACTGAGAAACCTGGGGCCAACCCTGGTTACTTGAGTTAGAATGAATTTACATCATGCTTGACATTAATTAATCTTTTTGGCCTTGATTTTTTCCCCATCAGGTGTATCAAAGACAATACCTATGTCAACCTCCACTCTCCACAGAAGAATGTGGCCCAGTTCAAGTTCAATGCCTTCAGCGTGCTGGACAGCTATGATGTGGTCTACCTGCAATGTAAGATTGTCATGTGCAGAGAAAGGGACTACTCTCACTGTGCCAAGGGCTGTGCAGAGCGAAAAAGGAGAGATGCAGATCCGTCGGAGCCCAAGGAAAAGCAGACCGAGCATTTCCAGATAGTGGGACCACTAGAGATCCATAAAACAGTCAGTCAGAGTAAGACACAAATATGATTTCTTCAACTTGTATGTGAATATATTAGAAATTAGGAGCGGTCTACTTCTTGCAGTGAAGCATTGTTTAGTAAATGAGAAAGAATTGTTACACAGGCAGAAGAAACAAAAGTATTGCTTCTCTGACGTTTGTGACTAAATTAAATCTCTAATTACTGCACTTCTAAGGCAATTACCTTTCTGGGCTACAAATGCTGATTTTCTAATTCTTCCTTTTCAAGAAGTTGATCATCATCTTTAAGTGTACGAAATGTTATTAAAAACAGGTTTGTCTTCCTTTACCTCATGGGCAATTTAAAGACTTAAAAAAATCAATTACTTGTTATTAAGATACTAGCAAGTAGATCTCTGTTTCTGTCAGTCTGATATTGTGAGGATTTTTTGATCTTCCTAAGAGTCTTATGAAAAATAAACTGTCTGTAAGAAAGCCATTGTTCATTTTTCTTTACAGTAATGGGAAAGTTGAATCACATGTATGATTGATTTACCCAAGCTTTAATTGGTTTTGTTTCAAAGGGAAAAAACTGGAGCACAGCTTTATGGGGTTGGGATATCAAGTATCTGCTTTCTGTGCTACCAGCTCCCCATGTAGTAGTGTTTTCAGTCTGTTTCTCAGATCTTGCATCACCCAGGAAATTTGAGAAATACCCGAACAGACAAGGAAAGAACCACATATTCCAATGTATTTCTGTTAAACAGAGCAGCGTCTGCTTTATCTATTTCCTGGTGCAGAAAGACGCCTCTGGCAGCCTTACCACTCTCAGAATCTCCTGTAAATATATAGACTTGAACACTGATGGTTTTGTTTGTTTTTGCTTGTTAACAAAATTTATTAGCAATATTTAAAATATGAATTCCAAGAAGTTATTCTAGTTTTTGTTAACAAATAGTGGTGTGGGAGATGAGACTGCTGTATTGTGAAGACCCACAAGGCAATAGGCATTATCTGATCAGCCTGGGGAGCCACCCCTCAGATCCTAAGACACAAAAATCTGACAGTTGCCCTAAAAGGATGCTGCCTCTAATGGGAACTCCTTGGTTCTATTAGCAACATGTCCTTCATTGAGAACTATATTGATAATGATTAATGATACTGATTAAAAGAATTTTGGCCCAGGCCAGACACTGTAGCTGGTGAAGCCACAAGCCTGCACCAAGGAACTCCTATCTCCCCCACCCCTAGGAATTTATCTATGGCGCCAAAAGAATACCAATGGGCTGCCTGTGCATCCCTAATGTCCTTCAGGCACCACCCCTAACCTAAGCTACATGTGCCCCCACTCCACATGTTCAGAGAGATCGCCCATGCCTGGGGGAAGATGCCATGCCCCAGGGGATCGGGGGTGTCTCTCCCTGCAGTCTCAAAATAAAGGTCATTTATATTTCATACTTCTTATCTTTTCAGCCGCAGGTCCCCCACAGTTCTATCACTGATATTTATTTTGATGAAATTCCTTCATACACAGAAATTGATGAAATATGGACCCCAGTCAATATGGTGAACAAGACATCTGTAAACCAAGGTTAATCTTAAGCCACATTAAACAATGATTTTAGCATCAGGCATCTATTTTACATAAATCCTTCAAAGGAATAAAGAAGTTTTTCCAACTAGTCGTGGAGTGCTATAGAGTTTCCACTTTCCAAGGTTCAATTTCCCATTAACCGTGCCTACCCATAATGTGTTGATGATGTAAACAGAGACTTAACTGCCAAAACCCAGCATATAGGCTAGATAAGGGATAGGAGGCCTGACTAGCATGTGTGAGGCTCTGGGGTCAATACACAGTACTAGGGGAAAAAATCCACCCAAAAGAAAGAAAACAGCTAATACTTTAAGAGTTTCAACAAATCCCTACTGTGAAAAGCACTGGAAGTAAAAGAATTAATATTTAAATCAGTCAATTCATCCCAGTGAACTTCTAGATCAGTGTTACTTGGTGTGGTTTAAGGGACCAGATCCGGGAAGCAGCCCTCTCTAAAGTATTCCAGGTGATTCTTAGGAACAGTGAAGCTTTAAAGACAGGCTAAATTTGGTCAGCATCCCATGCCCCATGGATCAAAATGCACCTTTTTTCAAAGAGAATCCTCCAGTTGGGGAACATCAAGGGTGTACACTGAAAAAGGTCCAAAAACAGCCTACTGTCTCTACCAAGAAGACCAGCAAAGAGACAATCCAGCAATAGAGGAAACTTTTAGACAAAAGCTGTCCTGCTGTAGTAAACCACCAGAAAATCCTAAGCCCTACCCCACCCCCCAGCCTGCAAAGGTTGAGTGCAGAGCCTAGCCCTTGTGCTCCCTAGTGCTCCTTCACTCTTTCCTCCCCTCACAAAGGTGAGGTCAAAAGGCAAGGTGGGAACCTGGGTGCACATCACCTCCAGAGAATGGCAGGACCCTCAATTGCACATCCCCTGTCAGATACAGACTAAGTAGGAAGACTGGACTTCCACTGCAGTCCTATGGGTGCCATAACCCATGCAGCCCTTGAGGTTCCTTGGGTGAAGGACCACAAAAAGGTGAGAAAATAGACAAAGCTAGGGTGAGGTTGAGCCCTTGCTCTCCTGATGGGAGAGAAGGAACTGGCCCCTCACTGCAGGGGCATTTATTTATATCTTTCAGCAACTTAATGTTACATGACACCCTGTTGTCCTAGCAACCCACTGTTCAGATTGTCTTGGGCTAGGTGTTCTCTGAGCTGAAGCTTGCCCCAGGCACTCTTTGATCTTAGGGTGGTCATGCTCCAGCCTTCCACTTACAGTCAGTTTTCAGCTTCAATGGCTCCCAACTTATGAGGAAAGGATGAGCAACTCGTTTCATTCTGTGCTTGTGAAATCAGGCCCAGGCCAAGGATGAGGGCATGGGGGTAGGTCTTTCATTCCTGTATGCCACCCCTCAGGGCAGCTAAGCCCAAGTGGAGAGCTTGGTCCCTCTAGTTTGCATGAGTCTGGTATTCTATTGACCATCCCTTTGTTACTAGAAATACTTCATGAAATACTTTAAGGAAGTCTCTTGTCTACAGTACAGAGGAAAATTTGCCTGTGAGACACTGAAATCCTGCTTACTAAGTGGTTTATTAGCTGATTTAGGAAGTGAATGCAGTGGCTCCTCAGGGGTGACACCCAGATGCCACTTCAGATTGTCACCCATTCTCCAGGCTGCCAGGGATCACTGATAGTTGAAGGTTGTTAGTGCCACTGCTCCCCCAAATTTCCCTCCACTCAAGATATCTGTCCTGTCCAAGTTTATAGCCATAATTTGAGCCAACAGAAATGTATGAAGTCTGAGCACTGCACCTCAGTGGGACATCTGAAGGGCCAATATGTCCCCAGGATTCCCCCCGAAATTGGCTGGGCCCTTTTATGGCAGGTCCTTTCTAGATCACCAGCTCCCGGTCCTGCCTCACTCACTCATCAAGGGGATCACCTTGAACACCTTTTCCACGAAACCTCTGGATAAGGTGTATTTTCCCAAATCCCCACCCATGGCAGTCAGGACTAGTGTGGCCCAAGAAACAGGTTCTAAAATGGGATTGGGGCCCTGGAACTGAGTGAGAACTCTTTCTGGTCAGGGATGAAATGTGGATGCCCTGACAGCTCAGGTATTCTCTCATTTAGTCCCTGCCACACCCAGAATGATGGTAGCTGCTTCCAATTCTTTTTTAAATTGTGGAGACCTAGACAGCATACTTGACCAGGAGCACCCTTGACCAGGCAAATATGAAGAACTATAGGCCAGGCCACCACCAACTCCAGGGCATCACTATACTTCTTCCTAAAACAAAGCAACACAAATATATATATATATATATATATATATATATATATATATATATGGAGAGAGAGAGAGAGAGAGAGGTATTCAGCTGGCATAGTGGCACACCTGTAATCCCAGCATTTGAGAGGCTGAGGCAGGAAGTTCACTCTGAGTTTGAGGCCAGCCTGAGCTACACAATGAGTTCGAGGACAGCTTGAACTATGTAGGGAGACTTTGTCTCAGAAAAAAAAAGTAATGGTGAGAAAGCCGACAATGAATTGGTATAGCTCTATATCTCCATTACAAAAAGACCTTTAGGGGCTCATGGTAATATAATTTTCTATACTAGTGAGTCACAATATTTAATAATTTAAAAATTAATTTTTAATAATTTTCTTTCTTACACTTTCTGCCCACCTGCCCTGTTGGCCAGCTCCATTAGCCAGCAGAAACCATCAAGTCATTTCCTGATGGAGAGACCACTAAAAGGAGGCCACCAAACCGGGCTTTTGGGCTGTTTTAAATACTGAATGTTGTCTGCCCATTCTAACTAAATTTCAGGTGTCTTGATGATAAGTTAGAAAAGAAGCTTGCAGTGGATTTAAGTTTTACAGATGAACATATAGAAGACCCACAACATGGCTACTTGGAAAAATATTTAGAAGATCTACATGGAGATATTAAAAACAAAATGGAGACAATTTGGTTTGATATGAAGCTGAAAATCTTTAGATCTTTGAAAAACTGTTCTGGGAAAGTACAGTGTCTATCATATCCATTGTGCATTCCCCCAGCAACCTGTGTATGTGGATACATTTACAGTGTAAAGAGGGCATCTTTGGGGGTTCAGGAATGTAGTTACCTGTTTGGATTTATAGAACCTGAAACTGCATGTGTTCCTCGGCGATGAGGAAGCATTGTACAGCACAGCTCGTCTAAAGTAATTAGCTTCAGCATGTTAATATTCGCTTACCCACTATACATGGGAACTTGTAAACCACACCTGGTTACTCCTTGCTAGTATGATTAATCATTGGCTTTGATATCTGATGATATATAGGAGGAAAAATTTTTATTTCATTAATCTAGAAAATGTATGAAGTCCTTCATTTTACAGTCAGGTTCTTCCCCTTTCGGAGCTGCTGAGAAACATTGAGACTGCATCTGTAAAACATGGGAAGCCAAGCAACTGCCCTGCACTCTTCTGCACTCTTTGTTTCAGACCTTATAACTTTTAATACTTCTAAGGTAGCATATTTGCCATTTATTTGCATATTACATTTGCACTGTTTATTTAGCACCTGAAAAATAAACTTGAAAAATAACATAAATTTTAAAGACTACTCTTCTTAACCATAAAATAAATCTTTTTCTGTTCATCTGATATTTGGTTAAAGTGTTTCATGCATATGAAAAGTGATGCTCATAATTCATGTAATAACTTCAGTTCCTAAGATGGCAGTTAATGGATAGAATATTTGTTTATTTCAATCATCTTTTAATGAAATATACTGACACAGTGACATAAAAGTCTATCATTTTTTCAGTCTCTTCCTACTTTATTCATATCCTGGATAGCCATGAAGAATCATTTCTTTCAACATGCTGGGATAAATTGTGTCTTGCTTAGAGCCAAAACCAATTAGTTAATAGTCTGTAGCCTCTGGTACTTGTAGTCTGACCGTTGCTTTACAAAATGCCTCACTGTGATCGTGGCCACAATCACTACATTCAGAGCAAGTACCACGAATGAAAACACATGCAGGCTGTTGAAAGGCTGGCTCCAAGTGTCTTCTGCAGGTGTCTGACGCAGAACTCCTGCACCTGGAAGCAAAACAAAACAAAACTAGTACCATTACAAAACATTGGAAACAGTTATAGCATCTCTACACATCCTTTGAATCTTATGCATGAACTAATACATAGCTCCAAACTAATATTGAGGAACTATTATCAAATATTTTATTAACTTATGTTTATGTTAAATTTATTTGTTTTAAGTGGTCAATTTAATTTGGCTCCTTGATATAACACAAAAATGTAAAATTTGAATATAATAATCAAATGGAAATGCAGGTTCATATATGAATGGTCATTTCTTTTCCATAGTTATCAAAATATATTTGTCAATAGGAAACAATTTTATTACTTTGAAACAGGAAAAGAATAGTCATTTCTATAATGACTTTGATTCACAAATTTTCAACTAATTTCAGACTTCTGTAGATTGCTATGTATATACTATACTACAAATGCTATACAACTATAAATTCATCATGAATCCTTTTAGTGAATGTATTTATTAAAGTTAATGAATTTAATTTTTGTTGGTGCTGTTATTTTTGCCAAAGAAATGTTTTGCTGCAAGCCAGAATCAATCCTTTTAATCCATTCTACTAATAATAAATAAAGAGATGAGCTATAAGATTCTTTAATGCTGACTAAAGAAAATGTATAGAAAAAAAAGATTCTTTAATGCCACAATCGCACCTAAGATAAATTCTTAAAACAACTTTTTTATTTCATTATGGCTTATATTACACTATTTAATTATAGATTATCCTTGAATAGTTACCATACTTTCTTTCTCATTCAACCTATTGATCTCAGGCAAGAAGAGAGCTGATCTCAGCTTAAAAAAGAGCTGAGTTACCCAGTGTCAATAGAGTAGACTCTATTTTTTTTAAAAAATAGCCAGGCATGGTGGCACACACTTATAATCCTAACACCTGGGAGACAGAGGCAGGAGGATTGCTGCAAGTTCAAGGCCAGCCTGGGATACATATTGAATTCAAGGTCAGTCTGTCATACAGAGTAAGACCCTGTCTCAAACAAAACAAAACAAAACTTTAGCTGGGCATGGATGGTGGCACACACCTGTAATCCCAGCAGCAATTTGGGCAGGAAGAGTACAAGTTCAAGCCCATCCCAAATAATCTAGTAAGTTAACCTAGTGTAACCTAGTGTAACCTAGTGAGTTAGTGAGACCTTGCTTCAACATTTAAAAAGGTCTGAGAATGTAGCTCAGTGTGCTGGATTAAACCCTAAGTACAATCAAAACAAAAAAAAAAAAAAAGAAAAGAAAGAAAGAAAGAAAGAAAGAAAGAAAGAAAGAAAGAAAGAAAGAAAAAGCAAACCCCAAAAATGATTTTTTTCCAATAAGTATTGTGGGCTAGGGATTTAGCTCAGTGGCATGAGCACCTGCCTGGTAAGCCCAAAGTCATGAGCTTGACCCCTGATACAAAACAAAACCAAAAACAAAACAAAACAATAAGCTGTTGCCTTCTATACAATAGCTTGACTTTTTGTTTTATTTAGGGGTTAAAATATATCTATTCTTACAAACAGGAAATAGGTATGTGAAAAAATGTTCAACATTACTGGTCATTCAAGAGATGCAAATTAAAAGAACTCTGATGGGCTGAAGATTTAACTCAATGGCATAAGCACCTGCCTTGCTAAGTGTGTGGTCATGAGTTTGATCCCCAATACCATACACACACAAAAGTACCCACTAACATTCTATCTCACTCCAGAAAAAATGACTTTTAATCAGGAAATCAATCAGCAACAAATGCTGGTGGGGTTTTGGGGGGAAAAGGAACCCTTCTCCACTGCTGATAAGACTGTAGACTGATGCAACCACTGTGGAAATCAGTGTGGAGATTCGTCAAACAACCAGGAGTACATGTTCCATTTGACCCAGCTATTTCCCTTCTTGGTATTTTCCCAAAAGAATGAAAAGATCAATCACAGCAATATATGCACCCATGTTTATAGCAGCACGGTTTTGTAATAGCCAAATCCTAATAACAGCTCAAATGCTTGTCAACTGATGAATAGATAAAAGATGATGTGGGCATGGTGCTGCATGCCTGTAATCCCAACTCTCAGGAGGCTGAGTCAGAATGGTTGTTACAAATTTGAGACCAGTGTGGGTCACAAAGTGAACTCAAAGCTAGCCTGAATTGCATAGCAAGACCCTGTCTCAAAAAGACGGGGAAAAAAAAACAGAATTATTTGAGGCCAGGGATATAGCTCAGTGGCACAAGTACCAACCTGGCAAGTGAAAGATTCTGAGTTCCATTCCCAGGACAAAAAAAAAGATGTGATTTTTGTTATGAAATGCAATAGTACTCTGCCATAAGGAAGGGTAAGCTGGATGCATTTTTAAGTAAATGGATGCACTTTGAGATCATTCCCCCAAGTGAAATAAGTCAGCCATACATGGGTAAATATTGCATTGTTTCTCTGCTGTGAGAAACCAAAAGTTTAAGTAAGGACCAAAATGTATAACAGGAATTTGAAATAGGAAGAAAATGTTCAAATGGGGAGGGGAACACGGAATGGGGAGGGGGAAAGGAAAGAAGGGAAAAGTAAAAAAAAATTAGAAAAGAAGGAAAAATGGAAACAAACTTTTTGTAAATGGGGACGGGAAAAGGGATTGAAATGAGGGTGGGGAATGGGGAAAAAGAAACAAGTTATATCATGTACAGGTACAAATTCCTTGTGATGAATGCCATCAATATGTAAATCTAAAATGCACCAATGAAATCTGTTTGGAGGAAAATATACATTGCTTCTGGCTATGATATCTATAGCAAACAGGAAGCTAAAGGAAACTTGTTTTTAGAAATGAGGACAATACTTGTATACTCAAAAGCTATAGGATACACTGGTGAATCAGCATACCCAGTATACACATTATCAACTGATGAAAAAAAATATTTCTCCTGTGTGCTTAAAAGTCAACACTTATTTACTAAAAGCCCTATTACAAATCTCTGAAATGCACATCTTAAAAACAACTGCATTTTATAAGCCAGGAGGTGGTGACAGATATTTTTTCTTACCTGAATTTCCACTTGCACTGCGATCCCTTTTCAGACGAATGGGTCCTATGATAGAATCCGTCTTCCATTTGTATGAAGAAATATCTCTTTTCCTTCTACTGACACAGCCTTCATTACAGCGGGACTCGTGGTCATCACTATCACATATCAAAATCTTACACTGCAGATACACAGAATTCAGACTTCTCAAGAATTTAAAGGCATTAAACTGGAATCTTCCATGGTGTCCAAATAAGGGATACACGTTACAAGTCTCATCTTGACTGCATCTGAAACAGAATTCGCAAACACACTCAGAAGATACACAGTGATTCATCTTCCCCATACCAGGAAGAGATGATACGAAGTTTTCAAAAAACTAATTTGCAAATCCAGAAGTTTCTCTAGGAAGACAGCTGTGGCTCACACTATAGAGAGCTAAAACTAGGGATCTGATTCCTGGATAACATACTAAGGTTTTTTCTGCCTTTAAAGTTCCTGTCCATGTGAACTAATAAAAAAACTGACATTTGCATATGGAAAGTCAAATACATCCTCTCATGCTTGTTATTAATATATCAGCCTGGCTGATCTGGTAAAATCAGCTTCTAGAAAGGAAAAGGGAAACATTTCCTTTCAAATAAAAATTTTATACTTTTAAGAATGCTCCATACATTTTCCTGATGATATTATGTTCTAAAGATGACATACATCTTTAAGTAATATCCCTTTTTTGTTAAAAACAACCAACATCAAAAACATAAATAGGTCCCGCTTGACATAAAATAAATGTTTTAATATCTTGTAATTACCTTTTAAATGCTACATATGGGCTATGTCCACAAAATGGTTTAACTTAAAATTTTGTGACATGTACACAAAAACTGTATTCCCTAAAATGACTCAGATAAATTTAATGAAATTGAAGAGATAAGATATTTAATTTAATTCCATGGTAATGGCACAAAGAAAACTAAATCCCTGGTACCAAAAATTATATTATTTTATTAAAATCATTATTACTCTTGGGAAGGAACATCAGACATCAGCTGCTTTGCTACATACCCACTCTTGATTAAGTCGTAAGTTGGAGAACCAAAGTCAGAAGTGGGAGAGGCTATACAGGCATCGAGAAATACCACCAGGTTTGGATCTGAGGTATGTAGACTGACTTGCACAAAAAGAGTCTGGTTCAAATCCACATAATACGGAGACTCCAATATAGGGTTTTCAAATGAATCCGATTCAAAAAACGCCATGCTCGTATTGTATTTTCCCAGTGCATTTTGGTTTTTTATGACATCGTCTTCTGTGATGTACATTATCTCCACAGTGGAATTATATTCCATTTCACATTTCACAACAATCTCTAGATGTTTCTGACGGGTGATCACCGCAGACATCGGGGAAACCACAAAACTAACTACGTTGGTGTAAGAAATTGTATGGTCCTCTACCTGCAGAACAAGATGGAATTCAAATTACATATTTTAGTCCAGTAATACTTTAGAGAATACATGGGAATGACTCTTGCAGATAGAGAAATAATTTTTTTAAACTGCAAGATAACTGCTTTTGTGTCAAAATACTATATACTCTAAATGTCTTACTGACGAGAGTATTTTGGGACATGAGCAATGACAATGTGAGAAGAGAGACACAGCTTGGAAACAGAATTGAACAGGACGTTTTTCAGTTACATGAAAATCAACTTTGGGCCAGGTGTGGTGATACACGTCTGTAATCCCAGCACTCAGCAGGCTGAGGCAGGAGGATTGCCACAGACTCGAGATCAGCCTGAACTACATAAAAAATATAAAAATCAAAATAAGAAAAGATCAAATTTGAATGCAAATTTACAGCCCTACAAAGACTTTAAATCCTACAACATGTTCTTTACATAAAGAGCACTAAATGTAGCCAACCAGGCAGTTTCCCAAGCGTGCACAGACAGGAGCTCTGCAGAGTTCCCTCAACTGTCTCTTTAGTGTAGTAGAACCTGTGCTCATTTTGGGCACAAAAAAAATATTCACTTCTGTCCTTGTCAATTCCTCTTGTGAGGCCCTCATTCTTTTCAGTTAGACTGGTGCTTAGCATCCTGAGTAAAAAGTTTACAATGTACATCCTAAAGGGACCGACAGGCTGAAAATGCCTAAAATCTTGACTCCAAGTTCTAAAACATGCAGAACAAATCACTGAGTTCCAATAAAAATCTTTGATATTTAAAATAAGGGCAATGGTTTTGCCAACTTCGCTTTATAAGGGAAGAGGATCTTTAAAATTCAGCTTGATTTTTACTAAATATGAGAAGTAAAAGGTTTCTGCGCAAGTGTTCCATAGCACATAGATATTCAAACTGTGTCTCACACATACATTTTCAGTGATCTTTACCTTCTGAGGAAGAAAAAACACCCTCCAGTCACCCTGAGAATGGATGCGATAGTTTGGCATTTATGCATAAGTGGCTGTGAGCACTGTGTGTCCACAGGGTTTTGCTTTACCTTTTTGATTGTACCACATTCATCCAGAGGGATAGTAAATTCCACGACATTTGATACTTCTGGTCTGCAAGTTGGGTCATTTAGTTGTAAGTTGTTCTCATTATAGTTAAATGACTCCAGATAGGTTTTGCTTATGATAACTCTCATCTTATCAGAGTCACAAATTAAAGATGCTGCCGGGGAAACAAAGAGGGAAAAGGATTATCATGTTTGTGAGGATTAGGTACTCTGAAACTTAGACTTCCATATGCAGGTGAGTCTATGAACAGCCAAAATTCTAGTGTAGTTTGAAGCCTGAGACAACTAAGCAATTGATGTGCTTTTTACAATATTCATTTTCACCTTATTTGAGACAAGAATCTATCTAAGATTTTTATATCTTTTCAGGCAATGTTAAGAGGACTAGCCCCTCTTCTCTACAGAAATCTTTTTTAGGTGAATAATATTGTTTCTTTTTCTATTAACAATGCACAGAAATTATTATCCAGCTTTAGGTTATGACAGAGTTTCCAAGTATCCTTAACAGGTTTGCACATAAGTGATAACCACAGGTAGGCACTTTTTATGTAGACAGCTCAAAATTGCTAAAAAAATATAAAATATAACTTACTAGTGTCGATATTTTCTGCATAAATTGAAGTGTAGGAAGCAGAAAAGCCTCGATAGGAATTGGCATAATCTGTAGATAACACAACAGTCAAAGCATTTGAAGAAGAGTCGAAGGTAGGTGTCACACGGCCACAGACTTGTCCCATCAGGCCAGATTCGGTGGAGGAGCCATCATAGACGGCAATAAAATCAAATCTGCAGTAGTCATCTATTTCTAGGCTAAGGAAAAGAGCCCCTGGTGAAAAGGATCTTAAAATCTATTCAAATCTATCAGATATCATCACATTCTTAAGAGATTCGGGATTTTTCCTTGCAATGACATCTCAGGTTTATAATGACAAGTCTGGGATTTTGCCACCTGATGGTACCTCTGAATCTTCAGAAAAATAGTCAACTAGTTCAGTGCAATAGTATAGATGAGTATCTTTGTTTTTATGTCAATTCCTTGAAAAGTTTTCATATATAGAGGCTGGGTATGATTACTTCTCTTCCCTGGGCCCCCCAAGTTGCCAAGTGGGTTTACTGCATTTGCTCCTCCAGGAGTGGGCCCCAGTACTTACAAAATCTCTTTGAAGTTTAATCTTATTTTGTAACCTTTTTCCACCTGTATGTGCCACACACAATAAGCCAGCTCAGGATGTGGCCGTGGGTAATTGGGACTGGTAAAGGATCCTTCCAAAGTGTTCAGGTAACCACCACAATTTGGAATAACTGAAAGAAATATGAAGGTGGTCAATAATGCAAATCAAAATAGATGTTTTTCATTTCATGTATGGTGGATGTCCTCCCCTGGGTATAATTTCATCTCTGTCTTTCCCAAGGGCTGCATATTTAGGTTCTGATTTTTCTTTATCAATGGAATTTCTGCCCCTTGGTTCAGGGCAGAGAGCAGATCTTTATCCTGCTCCAAATGAATAATACTAAATCTATCACAGGTGTAGAGATTCTCCATCACCTGGATTGAGTCGTAGAGAATAAAGTCACATTGCTAGGACCAGCAATGGAGTCGTGTCCTTCCTTAGCTGCAGCCTATCTCTCTAGGCCCATTGGCCACTAGAAAGTGGCCTGCTGCCCCAGTGTCTTCTTTCTTCCCAGATCTGCTCAGAGCTACTAGCTCTACTATCTATTCCTTTCCGGATACTTCTGCCTCTCCCTTCCCTAATCATGCTACTGTTCAAAGCTCAGCTCAGTAGCATCCTTCATAAAAAGGCTTTTCATCCTTCTCTGCCCTATTAAGTACATAAGGAAGCAGCAGGACAAATAAAACAAGCAATACTGAAGGCTCTTTTCAGGGACGTAAAGTGGTCTACATTGGTCAAATCAGAGCATGCATGTCAGGTAAGGGCTGGACACCAGGTTTGAAACAGTGATCTGGGTCTAGCTTAAGAAAATCTTAACCGTTCTACTCTAAAACTTTTGTGGCACCAATAAATCAGTGGTTTAAGCAGAAGACTATCAAGACCTGCTTTGCACCTTGGAAAGAGAGCCATAGTGGAATATTTCCCACAGACTCACTCCCTCAAATTCATGGCATTCTGCAATGAGTAAAAATGGAACTTAAATACTGCAAATGTAGAACTCTATAAAATAAAACTATCTTTAAAAATTTAAGCCAACTCTATGTGCAGCACTCTGCAGTTTTCTTGTTAGATCATCTGGGGGACTTGATAAGCATGAAGGGCCCACAGCCCCAATCTACATCCAATGATCTAAATCATGATTGCAAAAATCTTAACAGAATTGATGAATAGGCTGAGTGTGGGGACTCTATTGCTACCTGATCATCCCCAGCTAGATGCTCCCACAGAAGCAAGGAATCAGAATCTTCATGGTGAGCCCCACATTTGTGCTTTAACAAGTTCTCCAGATTATTGTGTGCATAGTGGAGGTAGAGAACTGCACCTCTCCCAAGCAGGGAAGTCTCTGAGGGAATAGGTCAAACTAAGATTGAAAACCTCAGAGCCAAAGCAGGTGTCACTTGTGTTTGCAGGACCACAGGAAAAGGATGTGTAGACAGCAACTTACTGGTGTCAGAAGAGTAGTAGTAGTAGAAGATAAAGACACTTCTTTGGATATTTGCAGAGTCTGTGATTATTTGAAATGTTAGTGTATTTGATGATGACTCAAACATAGGAACGAAGTCATTTTTACTGCAGACTTCCCCTAGAAGAGGCCCATCAGTAGAGTGTCCATCAAAGACTTTAATGTTTTCACTTTCACATGTTCCCTCTGGATCCAGCCTGTGGACAGAACATACTGGAGGCAGGAGAAGAGCCACTAGCCAAGTGGCTTCACAGAGCAAAGTCAACTACTCGTATTAGCAAGATGATGTATGCAACAGTGGCAGATCTGTTTTATTTAAACTTCTCAAAGATTTACCAGAATCCTTACCACCTTCAGGATCAAACCATATACCGTCAACCTTTGTGAGATCAGGAAGCTGAATTGTTTTACCTACATCTCATACGAAGTAAGTGTTGGAGATGAGCCTAAAAGCCAGGATTCTGTTCCTTCACCCTATTTCCATCACTCCTTTTCCTCCTGCCCAGGAAACTCTAGGGAAAACCTTCTTAGTTAGAATTGATTCCATAGACATTTTGATATCCAAGGCTGCTGATTGGAGAAGTCCCTCTTCTCCCGCAGCCACCTCTCTCGGGGTAAATAGAAGCTTAGCATCTCCCTAGATGCGCCCTCCTTCCCTGTATCAATGCCTCCTCATTCTGGAGGATGGCTAGTTTCATAGTGTGGACAGGAAGCGTAGGGTTTCTGTTTCCTGCCCAGTCCAACAGGTTCTCTCCAAATGTCCACATAGGATGCATGTCCAGGATGGCATAAGGCAAATATCACAAGGGTTTAAAAGTCTGAGTTCCCTTCCTATCTTAGTCATTTACCTGCTATGTAACATTGGAGGAGTGATTTAGATATCCTTAACTTCAGCTTTCTCTTCTAGAAAATGGAGAGTGCATAGCATACTTTTTACTTTTTGTCAAGTTTATACCATTCATAACGTAAAGCACTTACCACAGGCCTGCCACATAGAAAGCACCCAATATATGTTAAATGTTAATTTTTACTTACCTTTGTTCTTCCCACTTTTATGTTTTTTCTCTTTACATATCAAAAGTAATGTATATTTTTATAACTCTACCAGTCCAGGAAGTTTAAAAGTCCTCTTCTTTGTTGATTCCTTCAGTGTCAGGTGAATCCAACTTCAGTGATAAAGTTCACAAAGTGACCAACAGCATGAATGGTCATCTGGGAATTTGTATCCTGTGCAAATTCTCAGGTATCCCTCCCCATTGGAATAAGTTGGTGAAGCCCCTGTTTGGGGACCTCCTTGAGGTGGGGTGAGATACTGAGCACTGAGTCCTGAGTGCTGAGTAAGGCACTGAGATGGGGTAAAAGTAATAGCTGCGGGTGCTGGAATCTCATTCCTACTTATTACTTTGTGACTTTGGGACCACCGAGTACATTCTCTAGGCATTGTTAGCTAGTTAATGGCACTAAAGTGCAGCCCATAAGATGGTTGGTAAGATTATCTGACACAGATCTCTAGAAGTACTGAGTTACAGTGTAGCCCTGTGTCCTCACATTGGCCTCGCACTGTGTTGTCTGGATGCTTATAAAAATCACTTATGATTTAAGTAAAAAATACTGATGCTTGGGTCCTATCTCCAGAGACTGTTGTATAATTAAGAATTAGAATTTTATTAAGATATAGAATCTGAAATTAGACTAGCTGGTTACTAACCCTAATCATTCTACTCACTGTTTGTGGTGACCTCAGCATTTTGAAATTTCTGGATCCGTAATCCTAGTAATGACTTCATAGGAGCTCTGTAAGCCAGTGAGGCATGCAGTTATCAGCACTGGCTACTACTCACTACCACCACCACCATCACCATCATCATCATCAATACTGATGACTGTCAAAATTATCATCACTATCAATACCATGCAAATTACTACCATCTCTACCACCTCTAGCAGCAGGAGAGCTGAGCTCCCACCTTGGAAAGCTGAAGACTCTACTTACTGGACGTGGGAAAAGATGATTCTGACACTCTTGTCTTCTGGTCTTTCTATTGTCCATGTGCAGTTCTCAGCGGCATTGAGTTGCAGGATTACGGCACTGTGTGTGTCTGCCAGATTGGCCCCTCCCAGGCTGGCAGTGCAGCTTGATATGCCTGGGACAGAACACAGGTGTCACTGAGGAGAGTCCCAGCCCCACCCCCCTCCTGCAGCTGTCTCCCACATGCCATACCCAGACAGGCATGTGCCTAATCACAAATGCTATTTTGGTCATTCCCTATCAAGTCACGAGCAATAGATTTTTCCTTCTTAGAGCCCTTGAGATTTTCTACATATGGTCCATCAAAAAAGAATATAGTAGGGCCTGAAAAAAGACAGTTTCAAAAGGGAGCTTTACATCTAGACCATGAAACAAATCCTTACAATTCCATCTTTAAAAGACAAAGAGCACAATTACAAATGGACAAAGTAAATAGATTTTTTTTCCAAAATAGAGCTGGTGATTAAAAACTTATATAGTAGCAAACTTGCTCATTTTTTCATCTCCAATGAGTAGAAATATCCTTATACCAAACCTTTTATTTTTATCTAATTCTAAATATGATCTTTATTAGAAAAACTCAAAAAGCAAACATAATTAAAGAAGAAAAGTATAATTGTACAAACCCAACTATGGAATACCAATCATCATAAAGCCTTGGTGTGAATACACCCAGATTGTTTTCCTTCCTCCATTTTTCCTTCACTTTACAGATTTCATACAGGTCATAATGCATAACCTTACCATAAAAACTATCATAAGTTTCAGGCAGTTTTTTTCTCCATCTCACTAACTCATTACTCATGCTAAATTTACAATTCCAGCAATTAATCAATGTCATTTTTTAAAACACATATAAAAGTGTTTCTTGGTTATGAACTCACAGTAACAAAATCACTGGTGGAAATTTATATTCTTTTTATGGTTATGTAAAAGCACATACTTTCACATTAACTTTGTGTATTTTATTATTATTTTCCTAAAATAAGTTCTTAGTAATGAAATTATCCAGTAAAACTCTATGTGCTTCGTATATTTCAATGTATAAAATAAGACTAAAAGAAATTAACACCAAGCCAAAATCACACCAAGAGCATTAAAATTTTATCTGTGTTGGAGCCATAGAATCAGTGTTCATTAAGTTTTCTGGTTAATCCTGACTAAAAACTTTACTAGAGGGAACAATTAAAAGGACAAAGATAAGAAAGAAAAAATAAAAACAGATGAAGAAAGGCACCAAATGGCATTGGAACCTACCTAATGGGCTAGAGGGAGGGCTGGCAGGCAGGGAACAGAGGAAGCCAGCTGCATGAAACCAGGATAGCACCCCCTCCCCACCTCCAATAAAGCACAAAGAAGACAAGAGGGAAAGGGCTTACCTAAAGAAAACTCTTAGTATATAAAAATCTATATTCACATCTATGCATATGTACACATATATATTGTGCATATGTATTTCACTCTAGTCACTGTATTACTGCACTAGACACATACATCACCCCTTAATTAAATCCCTAACTCTGCCTTCCTAAAAGGCTCCTCCTAACCAACCTAGAAATCCTAGACACAAGGCCCTCAGGAGGACAAGAAGATGTCAAACGAAGTCCACCAAAAGGAATGGCACCCTGATTAGGGTCTTGTGGCCTTTGATCCACCCAAGACATGCCAAAGAGTCAAGTTGTGGCAAGTTTCGGGGAGGTAGGGTCTCCCAAACCCTGATAAAAGAAGCTGGGGACAAAGTCCCAAGGATATCCATCTTTCCAGAGCCCCCTGTCCTCCTCTCCAGAGTACCTTTCTATCTTCTTTTTCCTCCTTACAAATAAAGTATCTTTGTTTTTGAAAGCTCCATCTCATTAACTCATTGCTAGTGCTGATTCCAGCAAAGCAGCAGTGACCACTCAGACTCAATAGGGCCAACAGCAGGAAATCTTGAAATTTTGAAAGAGGCCTGATGAAATAAGGTCTTCTCTAACGGTGGGGGGAAATCCACTTAAATTTTCTTACCTTCAGCCTCAGACACATTCAGCTCTACCAGACATGAGATGATTACAAGGACCAAGAAAATGAGCCTTCTTTGGTCTTCCATCCTTGAAAGGGGCTGACACCCCGCAGGGATAGTAGGCTTTTATACTTCCCTGGGTTTCGTAACTATTTGAGTTCACACTTCCCAGCCAAATCTAGGGAAATGTGTCAGTTTGGCCACACAAGGGGAGTTGCATGTGAGAAAATAACCAGGTGTGTAGCTGCGTCATTACCAGCAAGCCCAGCAGTAAGTTCATTTCCCCTCACTCCTGGAAGGGCTGTGGGCAGTGCCTGCCTCGAGTGCCCTCTCCGTACCATCTCAACAGCTGGCACAGCAGCCACAAGTAAAACTTGGGGGAACAAACCTGAGCATGAGCCTTGGCCCTGTCTGTGCAGATCACAAATGGGGTAGCGTCAGTGACACCTGAGGTCTTCGCTCTTCTGCTTCAGAAATTTCTAAAAAGAAGGCCCAGAGGAGTAGTGAGGGATGCACACTCTAGGCCCAGCTGGGCCATTCAGATGCCTGCAGGGGCCTGACCCTGAGTGGGAAGAGGAGGCAGAGGATGTGAGGAAAAGTGCAAGTGAGACCCCTCTGCGTAGAGTTCTAAGCATTCATGTTTGTGGAGGCTGAAGCAGGTGAATTAGAGTCCCTTTAGTACTGGATTAGTGGCTCAGAGAAAGGAATCTTGGCATCCAAGGTAAGTGAGGAAGAGCAAATGTGCATGTGGAGAAAGCCAGCCTTCCTTCCTTCCTTCTTTCCTTCCTTCCTTCCTTCCTTCCTTCCTTCCTTCCTTCCTTCCTTCCTGTCTTCCTTACTTCCTTCCTTCATTTGGCAAATGGTCATTTCTCACTATTCCAGGGTCTGGGAATACAGAGCTGGGAATATATAGCCATTACTGTCATGGAAGTTGCACTGTAAGTGAGGATAACACTGAGGTGAAAAACTGAAATTCAAATTAGGGAAAAGCTCTTGATTATTGCAAAGGGGATTGGATAGAGAATGGCTGCCTTGAGAGTATGGGAAGGATGCAATATCTGGGTAGAAAGAAGACACCTTGAGAAGATGAAATCAGTGCAAAGACAAAAAAGAAGGCATTCGTGTGTGGTCTGGCTTGGGTGTAGGGCTGGACCTGAGATGAAAGGATAAATGTGAAGGATCTGTGGTGGGAACTAGCCAGGCAGCTCTTCAGTACAAGAAAAGGGAGAAAGTGTGGTTGTGAGTCAAAAGGAAGGAAAATGGAGGTGAAGATGAAAGAGAAAACAGAGGATGGAGGATGGAAAGGCTGTTTTAAGACAATAGAAAAAATTTAAATTTATTACAGGTTCACATGAAATTTTTCAGTTAAGCATGATACAGTTGGCAGGTTTTTTAAGCATCATCTGAGCAGTTTTGTGAGAGTGATGTGAGTACAGACTGAGTCTTTCAGGTTGGAATCTTCCTGATCACTTTCCAGTGTTGTTGTTGTTGTTACTGCTCTGCAGCCCAGGACCCCTCATAAACCCACAGGAGAATGAACTTCCTGGGGGACAGCACAGTTCCCCAGGAGATCCATTCTTAATGGGGCTCCCGGGTCAGGTGTTGGCCCCACACTCAGTGTTGCAGCACCAAGGCCTTATGAATGACAAGAGGAAGTGGTGCTTATGAGGAATTTAGGCACCTGCCAATGTCCCTACACAGCTCTGTCTCAAGAGAGCTGAAGAGGCAGGGATTGGATGTCCCAGAACAAGAGTAAGCTGGGAATGTGGGCGTAGAGTGACATCTTTCTGATTAATAAGGATTGCTTGCTCTCAGTTGTATTCTGAAACACACCCCCTCCCTGAGCTTTGTCCCTGAACCCCACTCCCATCCTGTAGCTGGGATCTCCCAACTCCTTGATCCTTCATCCTTGCTACGTATATATTAGTGTTCTCTAAAGGGACAGAGTTAATATAAAATATATGCTTGATGACACAAAGGATTTGCTAGGTATGCTTACAGGATCAAAAGCAAAAAGATGCCCAATGGCCATCGTCTAGATCAGAGGTACAAAGAATGAAAAATGGCCACCTACCTGTGTAAGGCCAGGGGATTCTGCTGAAGGTCATAGTACTGGAGCGCATTAATGAGACCAGGAAGATTCTGAGTCAGAAATCCAAAGGATCTATGTTGGAGGCTGAAGAGTGTGCTGGAAACCTGAGATAACTAGAGACCAACATTCAAAGGCATAGGCAACCAGAAGAAGAAAGGGCGGACTTTCTCTTCTTTCCAGGAGGGGTCTTCCCTCCTTATTTTGCTGGCATACATGCCAGTCATCCACAGATACACCCAAATCTTTACAAATCTGCTAGATGGTTCTTATTTGAGGCAAGTTAACATATCACAATTAATGACAACAACATTCAAGAATCTGATGGTCACCCTGGAGACTGCCTAGCAGGAAGGGAAGGAAGTTTGGATTTGAAAAGAGAGAAGTCAGTTTCAGGCCAGTAGTCACAGAACAGGGAGTGTTATAGCCAGTCACTGATCCTTCAGTCCCCAAGTACCTCAATGAAAAGAAGCCTGGGAGAGTTGAGGGACTTCCCCAAGTGAAGGTAGAGTTGAGAGGTGAACTGAGTCCATGGCACTCTAAAGCTGCTGCAGAGACTCTTCCTTCCTCTCCACCATCGGGTTTCCTGGAGACCTCTTGTCCCACCTGCCTCATTTTCCCTGCCATTCCTGGACCAGCCTGTGTAGGGGGCACACTGCCACTGGCTTCCTAGAGCTGAGCTAACATTCAAGCGCCCACTGCATGAGGTCAGAAGGAACCTCATGCTCCATCTGCTGGAGTTTGCTGGGGAAAAGAGAAAAATAAAAGCCAGGTAAGGAATGAAAACAGTAGGCTGAAAACTCAAAATGGGCAGGTTATTTCCAGCTAGAGTTTCAGTGTAGCCTCCAGGGAGGAGCCTTGATTCAACTTTTAAAGCCTGCTGAGGCTGGGGCTTGGGCTACTGCTCAGTCACCCAAGAGGGGGGGGTCCTACCTCACAGTGAAGCCCCCACTCACTTTTCACTTTTATCCAACACTGATATCCTCTGTGTTCTGAGACAGTCGCACTCCTGGACCAAATTCAGTCACACCTGTGCCCTCTTCTAGAGCTCAGTACCAGAGTTGTCATTCAGTGGCCTAGAGGTAATGGTGGCTTCTTTCATTTCCTGTTCCTGCTCCTTTGTTCTTCTTGCTCTTCTTGCAACCAGTTAATGGTTAACTTTGTATGAAGTACATCTAGGACCCTCACCAGTGAAGGTGTTGTTTAACGGGAAGTAGCCTGTGATTAAAGTGGAACATCTGCACTTCAGAAGAGTTTCTAGGCCAGTGAGTTAAACCTTTCAAAAACAAAGTGACAAACTAGAATTCAAGTTCCCCAGGAGATCCATTCTTAATGGGGGCCAACACTGCAATTAAATCTAAATATTGAAGTTTCAGTTTAGAAAAAAAGCAACTCTACATTAATATCTTTTCTTTTTTAAAATGTCTTTTCTCTTAAAAGGAAAGCATAGTAACACGTGTGCCTTAGATTTGCCACCACTGTTTTAGGGGCTTGGGAGAGGGAGAGACAATGGGGGTACATTTCCGTGCTTTGGTAAAGGGACTCCAGGCTTTGGCTTTGGGCTAGAGTTTCCTGTCACAGTTAAAGACACTGAAGCTTCAATCAGCATTTCAATGTGGAAACAATCTCAGGATGAAGCCACTTGGCTCTGAACATGGGGGAAGCCAGCAAAGGGACTCTTAGCTTTTCTGTTTTCCTCTTGAAGCCTCTGAGCTCAATTTTTTCCTTACTCAGGTCAGACAACTTCCATCTAGAAATGGCCCACCTAGTTGTCCTCACTCTTTTGAAGAATGGCATCCTCCTCAGGCTTCAAGTGACATCACTGACCCTACTGTAGGAGATGAATGAGAAAGAAAGCTCTGTAGGACTGCTGATCACACTCCAATGTGGCACTTTCAACGATGCTGAACTTGAAAATGCCCTAAGGTCAATGTACCCTTTCTTTCTGGGTTGGAAAATTGCTGGCCACTCTTCTTTTCTACCTTATTCCTTTAGTATCTATTGCCATATGATATTATAAGCTAGTTCCCTAAGTCTCAAAGTAGGTAATACATATGTGTGTGGGTATGTTATAAATAACTAAGAAAAAAATACTAAGCAATCATTTCAATATTCCATGTTTATTTAAAACTACATAAAATAACATTTTAAAGTATATAATATAAAATTATAGAACTTAATCAGGGGCTGGGGATTTAGCTCAGCGGCATAATCACCTGCCTTGCAAGCAGGTAGTTGTGAGTTCGGTGCCTGGTACCAATTAAAAAAAACAAAAAAACAAAACTTAATCTGAATATCAGTATAATCTACTAAGAAAAATGTTGAAAATCATGAAGATTATTGTATCCTTCATTCCCATCTTAGAGTCCCTCATTTGTATCACAAAAGCAAGGTGGCAGGGAATCATAATCCGCATACATTTTGCATTCATCACAGAATTGAAGAGCAGAACAAGGCTCCATGCCGGTGGTTTGAGCCAGGATGATCTTGTCCCTGGTGTTGGCTAAATTAGCTTCAAGCTCACATTCCTTTGCAGCCCTTAAGAAAAGATGTATACAAAGCACAGGCTTAGAAGTTTTCTTTTCAGTGTATTTTTGGCAATTGTCAGGGCTCTTTGGGAAGCTCAGGGCTGCAGCCAACCACACATGTGACACCAGCACTGGATTAAAGCTGTATGCCCTTGTGCCGAGTTCCTCTCTTATCCCTTCCTCTCTTACAACTGCTGTACACGTAAGGGAGAGTAACTTGCAAGTGGGCATGACCCAGCTAGTTTTTGCAGACTTTGGAGATGCAGGAAGGAAAAGGAAGAGGCTGAAGCTTGCTGTGTCCAGGGCCCCAGGGTCTACCATCTAACTCCCTAAAATGGGGACACCATTGCTTCTGGCAACCACTCTGTCCCATCTTTCGAATCATTTCCCCAGAAGAATACCATTTACTGTTACATACTCCTTCCATGTTAAGAGCATTCTACTTACTTACAACCCCAACCAGAAAGAAAAATCACCAAGATTCTGTAGCCACCCAATCTTGCCTTTATAAACCAGTATGTGGTTCTTGACCTCACTAAGGGCATGACCAGTAGCAAAGAATAGACCCTGCTCAACAAGACAACCCCTGGTGTCCCATTTGAGGGGTATTGTTCATTGTTTTCCCCATGACTCACTTCAGTGCCTTGGACAGTTTGGAATAAAGACAGATGACAACGCCTGTTAGCACTAACATGGCCAGCAAGATCGCACTGCAAATGATGATTAGAATCATTGTCCGGAGATCAAAAGATACAGACATTCCTGGTCAAAGAAGTTCAGACAAGAAGTAAGGTCACTTCCCTCCCCATACAGGAATGAGTAACCTAGAGAAGGAATGGAATCCAAACACAGATCGTTATGTATCTAAACCTCCAAAGACTCCTCCCAACTACAACCAAAGACTCCTCTTTCCAACAGGGGCACTTAGAGCCCCTGTATAGGTAAGATGGGTTATTTCTGTATGCAACAGACAATTTAAAGAATCTTTACCTTTCACAAGTAGTAAGTTATGTGACTTTATGTTTAAAAAAAAAAAGCCCTACATTGGAGCCAGTAGTTTTACTCACGGATACCTGAACCTTCCAAACTGTATTCACACTCAGAAATGACTATTCGTTATATATCAGACTCAGAGGTCTCCTGTGAGGATAAACTTCTCCAAAATGTTATTGCTCCAGCGATTCCAAAAATCATTTTGTAAAGTTTGTATGTTTTGGGAGAGAAAAGTTTTTGAATTCTTCTACTAAAAGCTGTTGTTATGCTTCTAAATCCTAAATCTTAATCCCTCATAGTAAACCCAATCTTTAATAACCAATTTGCTTAATCTGTCTCTCCGAAAACTGGGAAAATTTGAGTAAGAAAAGTAGAAAAAACAGTCTGAGTGCCAAGGCATAATCACTGCCTTCTAACTCTTGCTGGGTGGATGAAGGCCAATAGTTTTTTTTAAAATACAATTAAAATAAAGTTTAGGAAAACAGAACATCTTACCAGAAATTTCTCCTCCCTTTAATTAGAGAAAGAGAATTCCAGCTTTGAAGACCCAAACTGAAGAGCTCACTTCAGAAGCGCAGTCTTCTTCCATCAGAGAGGCAGAGCGAAAAGCCACTGTGACTGCCAACACCTACCTCAGTCAATACCCACGCTTTATGACATCAGCTCTTTCCACAGCAGCTCTCCTTCAGAGTTCTGAGTTCTAGTCCATGCTCAGATATATTGTAGCACCAATGGAAACAGTAGTGCCTGAATATTACCTTAAATCATGTAATTCATTGTCTCTCTTTTTTAGATTTTGTTTCCTTCAGAGAAACATATGGTATGACTGCTCATTGAAAGCAAATACGCAGTTGGGCAAGGTGGACCAAGCCTGTAGTCTCTGCATTTGGGAGGAAGAGGTAGGAGGAGCTCCACAATTTTGAGGAGTCTGAACTACATAGCAAGTTCAAGATCAGCCTGAGCTACATAGCCAAGACTCTGTCTCAAAAAAAACAAATGCCAGGCATGGTGGTACACACCTATAATCCCAGCACTCGGGAGACTGAGGCAAGGAGGATTGCTACAAGTTCAAGGCCAGCCTGAGCTACAAAGTGAGCTCAAGGCCAGCCTGAGCTGTATAGTGAGACCTTGTCTCAAAAAGATAAAAAACAAAACAAAACAAAAAAGTAGGATTCAATTTAAAAATAATAATATGGGGATACAGATATCTAAAAGCACTTGTATATATAAAATGAAGAGTGATGCCCTAAGTAAAGGGCCTTAATTATTTATCAGCTTACTTAAAATCACTTATAATAAGAGTAATATATGTCACAGAAAAACCAGAACACTAAGACAGTTCAAAATTTTTTAAATACATCCATCCACTCACAGACATTTTTAACAATTTTTTTTGAAACAAGGCCTTGCTATGTAGTTCAGGTTGGCCTTAAGCTCACTGTATAGCCTAGACTGGCTTTGAATTCACAGTGATACTCCTGCCTCAGTGCTGGGATTAAAGGTATGTGCCACCATACCCAGCAACAATTTCATGTATAAACATTTTCCTCTACTATCTGTCCTTTTAGAGTTTCAAAATATTTGCATATACTGTATACATTTAAGTAGGATCATACTTTGCATCCTTTGAAGAGATTTTCTTCATATTTATATCATAGGTATCTTTCTATAGCTATACCTCATTTGAAAAAGTAACTAAAGGTATTTTTTTGCACAGGTTTACCACAATATATAACCTGTGGAAATGTGTGTCCTAATATATTACTATTATAAGCATATCACACCATAATTTATATAACTTGTGAAATATGAGTCCTCTCTAATATCTTACTACTATAAGCATATCATAACCGCTTTTCAATGTTTGCACGTTATTAGAATAAATTCTCAATATAGAATTATTAGTCAAATTTGAGTTATCAGACAAAATTACATATAATATAGATATATATGTATATCTATCTATAGATAGATAGATAGATAGATAGACCAAACAGTACCAAAATACATGTGGTACTTGTGTTATATCATCTTCTAGTAAGAGTCTATAAAATCAAACATTTCTCCATATTATGTCCAAAACTGGTTTGTGGCTGTGTGTAGTGAGTGTGTGGGGCATGCATGTGGTGACTGGTTGTTTTTGTGGAATGGGGAATTAATCCCAGGACATTACATATGCTAGGCCAGCACTTCTACCGCTGAGCTACACCCCAGCCCTAAAATGTTACCCACTGTTTTATGTGGTGTTGGGAATTGAACCTCGGTCCTTACATAAGATAAACAGGCATCCCACCACCAGCCTGTTTCTTTTTTCCAAATATTTAGAAGGACTTAACTAATGTCACTGAAAACTTGGCTTTACCTTTTCCCTTCAGCCTTGATCAATTTAATTGCAGAACAAGGTAAAATTAAAAGGGACAAAGGTTCAGGACTTTTGATAGCCTTTATTTTAGAAAATGTCAGGGGAGTTTTGAGTACTACTTGTTTAGCCTCTCATAATCACCTTGTGAATAAGCCTCCTGCTGGTGTCCATGGAAGCATATCAATTCAAGCCCTCCAAAAACCTGTGTGAGAACATAGAAGCTTTGTAGCCAGTTTACTATCAGCAAACCCAAAGAGTGAGTGCTCTCTTTACTCACCACAGAAGGCTAACAGGTGTCACAACTAAAGCTCTTCTGGGACTTCAACACCTAAGCATGGTTGACACTAAGTAACTACTGTAGAATTTATAACAGCAGGTTTTGACTTATTTATTCATAATATAAATAAATAGGGTGGCATTTCTGGTTTTTTAAACCTTCTCTGCAGCTCCTCCAAGAATGCATATATAAGAAGATATGCACATATATGAGTGGGTTGAAAGGTTGACATGGGAGAAGGTGGGTAGCATAGCTCTGTCAAGCACAAACAAAGCAAGGATTCTACTGGTTAAGATACAACCAGTTCATTACTGATTGTATACAGGCATTTTATTACTTAGATAGTGAAGGAGAGATTTGCCATGTATGCCAAAGTCATTTTCCCGTACTTCAAAAAAAAAAAAAAAAAGACTGAAAGGTGAGATGTGGAATATTTTGTTACTAAGGAGCAGTTTGAGGTAAGCAGGGCAGAAACCCTCATATTTCATCATAACTAAAGAAACCATAGAAACTGACTTATAGTAGTAAAGTAAAAGGAAAGATCTCTTAAAAATAACGAGGGATCAAGAAATAACAACTCAATACCTGCAAGATAATACAAGGAAAAACAATATTACACTGATTGGTGTCAGTGAAAAAACAGTAGTCAACACAAATGACACAAAAAGATTATTTACAGAAGTAATAGCAGAAAAATTTCCCAAACACAATTGACATACAGATAAGTGAACATGTAGGACTCCAATTAGCCAAGACCAAAATAAATCTACACTCAGACATATAATAATCAAGATCTCAGAAACTCAATACAAGAACAGAATATTCAAAGCTGTTAGAGAAAATAAATCACCAATAAAGGAGAGCCCATCAGAATCATGGCAGAGTTCTCAGGATGGACCCTCAAATCAATAAAAGCTTGGAGTGAAGTATTCCAAATCCTGAAAGAAAACAACTTCCAACCCAGATTAATGTACCCTGAAAAACTACCTTTTGAAATTAATGGAGTAATAAAATACTTCCCTCACAAAGAATAACAAAATTCATGACCACCAAACCAGTATATATGTTAATGAAAGATATTCTAGACAGAGATAAAAATGACTACAACTCCAAGAATAACCAACAGAAAGGAATCACCAGTCAGGGCAAGCTATTAAACAGGGAGGGAAAGGAGGGAGCCAACATCAGGAAAATAGCATGGAAAAGATAGGCCAAAACTCATCAGTTATAACCATCAATGTAAACGACTTCAATTCACCAATCAAAAGAAACAGGCAGGCATAATGAATCACAAAACAAAATCCAACTATATGATCTATGCAAAAAACACACTTAGGCCTGTGTCTATAGCTCAGCAGCATAAGCACCTGCCTGGCAAGCACGAGGTCATGAGTTTGATCTCCAGTACAAAAAAAAAAAGAAAAAGAAAAAGAAACACATTTAATTCTAAAAAAAATTCACAGACTGAAAGCCAAAAGATGGAAAACAATATTCCATGTTACAGAAACCTAGAAAAAAAGCAGGAGTAGTTATTCTGTTTGCAGACAACATTAACTTCAAACAAAGAATAATCAGAAAAGATAAAAATGGTCACTACATACTTGTTAGGGGAAACCTCAAGAGGAAGAAATAACAGTCATAAATATATGTGCACCAAATACAGGAGCACCCAATTATACAGACAAATAGTAATAGACATGAAAAATCAAATAAGTGATAAGACAGCTATTATGGGGGAGCTTAATTTCCCATTGTCACAAAGAGGTAGATCAATTAGGCCAAATAATTTAACAAAGTAATATCAAAACAGAACTAAACCCGTGAACAAATGGACTTACTAGATATTTACAGTGTTCCACCCAAAAACTTCAGTATACACATTCTTCTCAATTCCACATGGACATCCTCTAAAATAGACCATCTACATGCCCACAGAATATATTTAAATAAATGCAAAGGAATTAAAATTATCCAATCCATATTATTGACCATAATGCAATGAAATTGAAAATTAATGGAAAAAAGAAATCACAAAAACTCCATAAACAAATGGAAATTAAATGACACTATCCTGAACAACCAATGGGTTACAGATGAAAGTAAAGAAGAAAATAAACAATATCTACAATTAAACAAAAATGCAGATACAACATACTGGAACCAGCAGGATGCAATGAAAGTAGTC